CCCCCCTTTGCCCTTTTCCAGCTCCCATCCTTCTGACAAAAGAGATTACACAGCGGAAAAATCGGTGCCTGGCCTTAAAGACAGGAGCCAAGTATACAAAAGTTTCTGCATCATTTGGACGGGTTTCAGATGCCTACGAGCGAAGAACCAGTTGCACCTCTGGTGGTGCAAGTGGAATCCCGCCTTTCCCCTGCCTCACTCTGAGGAGGAGGAGGAGGAGGAGAAGGAGGAGGAGGAGGAAGAAGAGGAGGAGGGGGAGAAGGACGGGGAGGAGGCGAGAAGGCTGGAGAGGCAGCCCAGCCTCCTGGTGCCTCCTGCAGCCCGGGGCTGTGCCTCTCGAGTCCGGCGCCGCTGGTGAACTTTGCGGCATACTGGTAGGGGGGGATGTAACCGCGGGAGTGGGCTGGAGGAGGGTTATTTATAGGAAAATCCAGAGAGCCATATGGAGCCTGCACCCCCTGGTCCCGGCGGCATGTTAATTTGGTCAAAGCTTCTCCCTGGCTACCGCTTGCAAATAAATTAGACATCCTGCCGATGATGATCTTATCAAATTAATGTAATTAGACCACAGACATGTTACAACAGTTACCGTGGCCATTTCAAGTCCCCAGGATGAATAATTGGTCTTTTGTTTTTTTCTGGTGGGCAGGGACCAGGGAGGGAGGGGGAAAACGGGGTAGGAAATGGGACAGGAGTAGGAAACAAAACAGACAGAAAGAGAGAAATCCTGACCATGAAAAACTTATCCAATAAATTACAAGTGGGATAGAAGAGATAAAATGCCACTGAGACAGAAAGCACCACAAGAAATATATTGGTGGTTTCACTAGGAAAAGAAAAAGAGGAAAGGAAACCTGGCACCACATTGGGGCCCATTAATTCATTTTTCCTGATGGTTTGTTTGACTTTGTCTCTCAGTGATGCCAGGGTGGAAGAGTGGGGGTGCAAAGCTGTCCAGAAACCTTCTATGGATCAAAAATTGCAGCCTCAAAGTGCAAAGGCACCTGGAGGCAAGGAAGCCCTAGGACAACCTGTGGAGAGAAGCAGGACAGTCAGAAAAAGGGAAAAGGGTCAGGGTGGGGGTCAAGGACACATTACTAGGTGTCAGCAGCAGTGACAAGATCACTGTGAACAAAGTCTTTGCAGAGGAAAGACTGAAAATCTGGAGCCTGATGAAGACTCCCTGGGATGTGGGGCAGAAGGACTTGTCCTCCTCCTACCTTAGAATAAAGCTTCCAAGTATCTTTACTTTCATGTTATTAAAATTGCTCAGGCACCGTAAAAACAATCAAAATGCAACCAGAGGACCTGAACATTAACAAGATATTAAATAAATAAGTATGAATTGAATAAGCGGAAGGAGACAATGACCTGTTGTCAGAGTGTGAAGGACAGATTGCCTGCTTCTTACCGAGGATCTGCTGAGAGGTGGGAACTGGTGGAAGCCATCTGGGGACCTGGAATTTCAAAGTGGTTAAAATCCAAAAAGTAAAAAACATGCCAGAATAAATAAGAGTGTGTATGGATACCATGTAACTTCCAAAGGAGTATTTATCTAAGGAAGCCATTGTGTTTTCAACTGTATGCTTTGGAGATTCATGTCTTATATTTAAAATATACATATTGAGAGAGCATCTGCTATGCAAAAGTTAACATCTAGGAGACAATTCAGAGAGGAAGGAAAAAAGCACCATCCATTTTAGATTTGATATCTGAAGATTTTTATTCTATGAGTCAAGTTACAAAGAAAGATCCAGAAGATTAATCTATCATTATTCAGTGCCATAATCCTAAATTTCTAGGTTTTTTCATCTTATCGAAATAAGTTTGGAAACATATATCTTAGCATAAAAGGCCTGCCTTTAAGAGTTTTAAGGAAATACTTATTCCTGGGCCAGGTTGATTGGGAGCTGAAATGTTTTACTCTGTTACTTAGAGAGTGTGGCTAAGTGAGAGACCATACAGCATTGAAGTACCAATTAATCTGGGTCTTTAAAATTCAATATATACGTCCTAGTTTACAATCTATACACAGGTTGTATAAACAGAACTCACATAATCCCCTCTAAATTATTCTAAAGATCAGATAAGGGAAAGAGCGTACAAGTATATTGTCCTTGACTGTTATCTTTTGCCTCATGTTTCTGTCTGCAAATTCTAGAAACCTAAAACAATGATCTGTCTTCCTATACTTTTCCTCTGGGTGTAAAGTCCATATTGAACCACATACAAGCCAAATGAAGCCATTTTGAACAGAAATGGGTATACTCATAATATGGAAAATTACTTGAAAGAGGAAAAGGTAGTGGGATACTTCTTCGTTTTCCCAATTAGTAATCTCCCATCTCCCTGTTGCTATGGCTATGTAAGTAACATTGGGTAAGGGTATATTTGTGCTACTTTGGAACATGTTAAAAAGCTAGTTACTTCATCTAACACTGTAGAACTTGCAGAGCAGAACTCAGGCCATCTGCAGAGGTTCTAGAGAAGAAAGCAATTATTTTGGTAGATATTCTGATTTCAGTGTTCGTGCTATGAACTGTAAAATTTGCTTCATTATTTCTATGGAGGTATAAAGACATCCTACACTGATGATGTTGTGCATGATGTTGTGTGTGGATACACACACACACATTCATATATACATATGCATATAAACATCTGCATGTGTGCACCACAAATCATGATAGACCAGCAAACAGAAGAGTTATAGGATCATTATTTAATTTACAATTATGTCTTTGCTCAGGCTTTGACTATGGAATTTCACACAGGCTAGTAGTTAACACAGATGCCTCCATATGTTGCAGCTCCTGCAGAAACTATGCTTCTCAGTGTATACAATGACTTTAAACCAGCTCAGATAAACAAGTTCTAACTAAGGGTAGAAGGGTTTAAGCTAATATCAGGATCTCCTCACAGAATTTTCTATCTCAGTATATTTCACAGCCCAGTCTTCAAACACAGCTACTGGATTTCTATCTAAACTGCAACTAGACCTAACAAGGTTTCCAAAACTAGATAATTTTCTCCTTCATTTTTCATTTCTCTAAGGGTAATGGCATGTGAGCTTGTTCCAACTCTCCCTGTGATATGTTCACCAGACGGAGCTTTGCAAAATGATGCAGTGGCGGATGATGATGATGACTAAAAAAAAAAAAAAAAAAAAAAAAAAAAAAAAAAAAAAAAAAAAAAAAAGAAAGAAAAGAAAGTTAGAGAAGTGAGTGGTTTGCCTACTTCTATCTAGTGAGTAGGAGACTGGCTCATGATGAGAAAATAAAAAATTCTCTATCTTCTGCAGTGTAAGAGCCAGCCC